CAAAGAGTTATCATCAAGAGTGAATTTCCCGAACTGATTCGTTCACATGTTGAACCAATCGATATCGATACCTGTTCGATGTGTCGACTACGATTTCTTCCAAAGGGAATTCTGCACCCTGACGCATTCGCGGCAAAGAGATATCATGAAGCGGGAATCTCCCGAACTGATTCGTTCACATGTTGAACCAATCGATATCGATACCTGTTCGATGTATCGAATACGATCTCTTCCAAAGGGAATTCTGCACCCTGATGCATTCGCGGCAAAGAGTTACCACGAAGCGGGAATCTCCCGAACTGATTCTCCTGAAAATCCTGCTTTCCATTCATCGCTGGCTGGAGCGGCCAGTCCTCATAAGCTGACTCGTGTGTGGTGTGTAGTTCCTGAAGGATGAGTCGGAGCATCGCCGTCACTCCTCGGGACTCGGAGAGCGCGGGACGCAGGAGTCGGGGCTCTGCACCCGCGGTGTAACCTTGAACGTGGCGCGGCGCTGCCGAACCTACCTCCGGGGGCGCTCCTGTTTTTTGTCCCTCCCGCCAGATTCGGCAGCGTCGCCGACCGCGTCTTCGGGGAGACGGAGGGGCAGGGTCATCCTTTCTTGCCGCGCTCGACGCACGCCGGCCCCGCCGAAACGCCGAATGGGCTTCCTTGATTTTTTGGGTTTTTTTTCGGATTTTTGGGTCAACGAAGGGGTTTCGATTGGGGCTGATTTGGGCCCACTCAAGCTGAATTTCCTTCACGCTATGGACTTCCTTGATTTTTTTGATCTATTTTCAGTCCCGGGATTTTGGGGTCCAAAAAGAGGTTTTTATAGGGGCTGAGGGCCCACTCAAGCTAAGTTTTCTTAACTCTAACGGGTTTCCTTGATTTTTTTAAGGTCCATTTTTAGTCCTGGGGATTTTAGGGACAAAGTAGGGGTTTCGATAGAGGCTGATTTAGGCCCACTCAAGCTAAATTTCCTTAACTCTAATGGGCTTCCTTGATTTTATTGGTCCAGTTTCAGTACGGAATGCATCATGATTTGGTCTATTTTCGGTTTCCAATACCGTCCTACCGCCTGAAGGCCAATTTTCTGAGAAATCCCCAATTTTGGGCATTCGGCCGCAAATCCACAAAATCCGCATTTTTTGCAGAAATCAGCCTCAAGCCCATGTTTAGTAGGCCAGTGCTAAACCCTTGAAGTGACCAAATCATGATACACGTACATTTCGTGGAATTTAGACCTTCAAGAGCCAAAAAATCGTAGAGTTGAGAAATTTCAGGGTGGCCTCGAAAACGGTCTTCATTGATATCTCTCGTTCTGAGTGGATTTCGGCGGATTTTAGTCCACTTTGATATCCTCCTGAATAGAACCCACCCCTGAGATTTTTCGTATTTTTGCTTTTATTTGACTAGTCTTTTCAGCACCTTATATGGATAATTTCACGGAAAATGGTTTTGAAAATTTTGAAAAAACATTGAAAAATGGAAATTTAAGGCTACTTTTCATATGAAACTTTTTGGAACCTCAAGGGCGATTCTTTCCGGGTCTCGGGTGTGATCGAACTGGTGTACGGCACATCGCATCGATTAGGTCAATGATCGTGGCAGATTTCGACTTTTTTAGCCCCGACGAAGAACGATATCCCCTGCGCGGGAGTCTCATGAATCATTTTTGAAGGGAAAATATTCGTAACGGAGGAATGGAAGAACGATTTAGTCGCGAAGAAAGTATCGCTGCGATCTCTGGTTCGAGTGAAAAGTACATACATTTTATCCCAATACGAATCCTGGTTTCTTTCCTCTGAATTTTGCAGTTTTTTTCTTTGCGAACGATTGCCTGGACTCACTCGCAGGGGCTGTGGTCGGTTTTTTTTATGGCTGAGAAGTCATAATTGGCAAGATTTTTGACTCTGTCAACACTGCTCACGAGCACGTCTTTGACCATAAGCGAACTTTATTTAAAGTTCCGAACATCTTTGGCAAGTTCTGCCCCTGTTTGTCTCATCAATTACCATGTGGATACCGATGCTACCAGATTCGACCAATCAGATCCGTTGGTTTTCGATGGATCGAACCGTTTTTAGAACCACCTCGCGAGGCGGTACCAAAATGACGCACCAACGTTGCGATTCGTTGGTCACCGAATCGGAAGTTCCGAAATCAAATAAAGTGGCAGCTCAGAGGTTCGGATGCAGAAGTGGTACCGGACCTCTAAAAAAGTAACCCCTCATGCGTTCCGAAACTCGAGGTGGTGACCCACCGTGCGCCGATAGTGGATGGAGAAGTCGAGGACCACCTGGTCCCCCTGCCCCTACCGATACGCTGCCCTGCCACGTCGTCGCTGCTTCGCCGTGTTTTTTCTCTTTTTTTTTCAAGGGGGGGGGGGGGGTCTAAATTCTCTTTCGGGATTCTGACCCACTTTCCCGAACGTGAGTGTATTTTCAGGCACTGGTCTCTCAATGACTCCTCCTTGCCTTTTGTCTTTTGCGATTGTCGGATCAGCTCGGCCAGAGTGGGAATTCACAACCAGTGGCGTGGCGTACTTTGCGATGTATCGATTGATCTACCATTTATACGTATAGAAAAGGATCGCTAAACAGGGTGTCCAGGGGTGCACAATATACTAGATCACGCGATAAATTATCGCGTGAAATTGTGGAAGGCCTTCCCGATTTTTGGAAGCGCGATCACGCGATAAATTATCGCGTGAAAATGTGGAAGCGTCCCAAATTTTGAGGAATATTTTTTTTCTTTCTTTCTCTTCGTTTCTTTTCTCGCTCTGCACTTTGAATCTCATATTTTTTACCAAAGAAAAAAAAAAAAAAAATCATCACTTCTTGTGGAAGGAGTCACGAAATTGTGGAAATTGTTTAAAAAAAAATTTGTGGAAGAGGAAAAGCTTATCGTGCGAAATTGTGGAAGCATAGTAAAATGTGCACCCCTGGGTGTGGTGTCCGCAACGAGCACCCCAATAATCGATTCTTTACCGCAGCTGCAAATGAGGAGTCATCGATAATCGATCAGGTCGTATTCATAGTCGTCTCTTTAGCAGTTCCTACCCCTAGCAAGGCCCTCTGAGAAATACATTGTGGTCAAAAAGGCCCTGAATATAGTTACAGTTTTCAATTACAGGCAGATCCGCCGTACTTGCCGTACTTGTAAAGGAGTGAATTTTACGATTTACGTCGTGATATAGTGATATACCTATGGTAGTCGGTAAAATCAAACGAGTGTCGACTTTTTCGCTCAAAAAATCAGGAAAATTCATTTAAAGAATCAGGGAAATCCAAGAAGACATTTCAGCAGACATCCCGAATGACTTTCTTGATTCAACCGGTATTTCTCATCGCAACTAAAAATCCCCAACGGGAACAGTGCTCTCGCAATGCTAGCCTGATTTTCCTCATCGTCAGTGTGTAACTGAATCCATTCACTATGAGACTCGAACAGAATTGTTTCGATTTTTAACGGCCCACGACGACTACACCGGTCCCAAACCGGGTTCCCAATCCAACCTGCCCGTCCCGAAAAGAGGGGGGNGGGGGGGGGGGGGCAGTGGAGACCTAGGGGTGTCAAGCTAGGTATGCCCCTCTCGCCCTTCCCACTCAATCACCGTCCTGATTACGTTACTCACGCACTACGCTCGCCCCCCGACCCGCTCCCGCCCCTCGTGGATCGTCCCCGCCTAAAGGATGACGAGACAGCCAGCGTAGCCCCCCTCCTCCCCCTG